ACTGTCCACTCTACCTATATATAAAAAAAAAAAAAAGAGGAAATAGGAAACTCCCCCATCTCTATGCATTCTTGCCCCCACCCCCACCACGACACTAGCAAGTAAATGGGGTCAAACTTGAAGAGGGCTATTATTAAAACTGTAAGAGCCTGTGAATGTTAAAGCACATGATAAGAATTCTGCTTCAGGGGCTGGCACTGCAGTACAGTGGGTTAAGCCACTGCCTGAGAGACTGGCATCCTATATGGCCACCACTTTGAGTCCAGGCTGCTCCACTTCTGATCCAGCTCTCTGCTAATGCACCTGGAAAAGCAGCGGAGGACAGCCCAAGTGCTTGCGTCCCTGCCCCCGACATGGGAGACCCAGATGGAGTTCCAGGCTGTAGCTTTACCCTGTCCCAGATCCTGGCCATCGCAGCCCTCTGGGGGGGTGAACAAGCAGATGGAAGATCCTTCTCCCTCTGCCACTCTGCCTTTCAAATAAGTAAAATAATAAATCTTTATTTCAAAAATAGAATTCTGCTTTCACATAGGAGGCTTTGGAGGACTTATCCTCTACCAGTTTAAGAACGTGGTATCAGACACTTCCCAGCCATTTACTCAAAGCAGTCAAACTCTGTGCAGAATCCCCCTACCTGTTTGTACAGTTCATTGACATAAGATACGTGTTGCATGAATAAGAAGACAGTTTAAACCTAGGAAAACGTTCCTCCTGCTCTACCTCCTCTATTTTCCAAACCTCCCAAACGCCACCAGCTTGGCCCTGTAGTGTTTCTCCTTGTCCGTCTTCATCACAACTGTGGTTTGTGGCAGTCCCACCGTTCTCTTTCATGTCACTGCCAAGCTGCTGCCCAAAATACCCCCACACGCTGGGAGCATCTCTGTGTTTCTCCGCGTGCTGCTTTCCTTCTGCCTTTGGAGTTCCTGTCACTGACTCTAGGGAGACTTCACAGTCCTGCACTCCAAGCCTGCAGCTTGCCAAAGCCCCAGTGTGTATGGTATTCAGTACTGGAACATTCAGCAAGCATTTACAAGTAAGATGCATATGTTTGAGGTGTTGGAAGGGACACGAGTCACAGAATTGTCAGTTTTCAAGTATTTCTCTAGCTAGCGACAACTTACTGAGCTTCAGGATCTGTAAAATGAGAATCTAGGCCTCCATTCTAATGTTCAAGAAGTCCAAGTCTGGGCCTAAGTCCCAGTGCTAGAGGCCACTGAAATCTGGGCCAGCAAACGAGCCTTGTCCTATCACAAGCCCCAATCTTTTCATTCCATCATGCTGTGTGCACGCGTGGAAGCACAAGACAACTTGCCTGCCGCCCTTGTCTGTTTAAATGTACATCACGTGTGAGAACAAGAAGCATTTCTTATCTTTTCTACCCTTAAATACTTAATAGAGTATTGACAATGGGCTTGTGTCTCCTTAAATGCAAACACCCTATATTATCCATCTCTGTGTCCACCTGCCACCAACCACCACTCCCTCCCTTGAAACTTGTGTATAGGAGATACCTAGTAAGTGCTTTCAGAAAAGCAGAACGAAGGGGCTCCTGTTTTTCGTTATTCCAATGGCTACTTCTCATCAACTGATTGGAACTGGATTCCCAAGTTCTCAGCTAGGGTGGTCCTCCCAGATGTGTTCTCCCATGGTCCGGGCTCTATCATTAAATGGCAATGTCACTCGGCAATCACACAACCTTGATGTACCTCCATTCCCTCATCTATAAAACGAAGAGAAACTAGCACCACCACCACCTCCAGGGTAGCTGCCAGGATTAAATGGGGGGGGGGGGCTCTTTAAGAAACACTTAGAACAGAGTCTGGAAATATGCAGGAAAAATGCTCTATAAATGTGGGCTATTGTTACTGTACACTTTCATCCAGCATAACCCTCATCACACACCACTTGTTTACCTTATTGATTTCCAGAAGGACTGAAAGTTCTGTGCAGTCAAGAACCATTTCTCTCTTGGGCTTATCCCCAGAATGGTGGTCTGGGAAGTGGCAGGTGGCTGATAAATATTTGAAATAATCCATCCATTCAAGAATGAAAATGATGGGCCAGCATTGTGGCATAGGGGGTAAAGATGCCACCTGCGACCTGACATATCATATGGAGACTAGTTGGAGTCCTGGCTGCTCCACTTCCCATCCAGCTCCCTGCTAATGGCCTGGGAAAAGCAGCAAAAGATGGCTCCAGTGCTTGGGCCCCTGCCATCCACATGGGAAACCTGGAAGAAACTTCTGGCTCCTGACTTCAGCTTGGCCCAGTCCCAGCTGTTGCAGCCATCTGAGGAGTGAACCAGCAAGTGGAAGATCTCTCCCTCTCTCTCTCTCCCTCCCTCCCTCCCTCCCTTCCTGTCTCTCCCTCTCTCTCAATAAATCTGACCTTCAAAAAAAGGAGTGGCTGGCACTGTGGCGCAATAGGTTAATCCTCCATCTGCAGCGCCAGCATCCCATATGGGCGCAGGTTCTAATCCCGGTTGCTCCACGTCCAATCCAGCTCTCTGCTATGGCCTGGGAGAGCAGTAGAGGATGGCCCAAGTCCTTGGGCCCCTGCACCTGTGTGGGAGACCAGGAAGAAGCACCTGGCTTCTGGCTCCAGATCGGAGCAGTTCCAGCCATAGCAGCCATTTGGGGTGTGAACCAACAGAAAGAAGACCTTTCTCTCTGTCTCTCTCTCTCTCTCTCTCACTGTCTGTAACTCCACCTTCAAATAAAATAATAAAATCTTAAAAAAAAGGGGGGGGGGCCAGTGCCGTGGCTCACTTGGTTAATCCTCCATCTGCAGCACCGGTATCCCATATGGGCACCAGGTTCTAGTCTCAGTTGCTCCTCTTCCAGTCCAGCTCTCTGCTGTGGCCCAGGAGGGCAGTGGAGGATGGCCCAAGTGCTTGGGCCCCTGCACCCACATGTGAGACCAGGAAGAAGCACCTGGCTCCTGGCTTTGGGCTGGGGCAGTGCCAGGCGTAGCGGCCATTTTGGGAGTGAACCAATGGAAGGAAGACCTTTCTGTCTCTCTCTCTCTCACTGTCTATAACTCTACCTGTCAAAATTAAAAAAAAAAAAAAAGAAAAAAGAAAAAAGGAAATTGAGTGGTGTACTCCCCGGACTATACTAGGTAGAGGAAAATGTGGATTGTTCCCTGGAACTTTGTAGCCACTAGAAAATGCTGTACCTTTTGGACACTTTAGATAATTGTCCCAGCTTGCAATTTTAAGATAGAGGAAACGAGAGTCACTATTACAAAGTGATAAAGAAAGAGCACAGATGACAAAGCCAGTGCATGGATTTGAATCCTGCCTCCACTGCTTACCAGAGTGTGGTCATTTGTTGCTTAACACTTGTGCCTCTGTCTTTCCACCTGTGAAATAGGCATAAAGGTAGACCCTACCTCGGTGTGGGGGGAGGTGTCCTACGAAGATTAAATGAGTTAACACTTGAAGTGTGGTCAGTGCTTAGCATTCTGTAAGTGTTAACTGTTACCCCCATTGTTGTCATCGTCACTTGTGAGCAAGGACACATCTCGAAAAGGATGGAAGAGTGAGAGGGATGTGTGGCACTGTGCTTGTAGAAAAATGAGCAGCTAAAACCCAGTGTTAAAATAACCACGATGCTGTGCTATGACAATGTAGCTGTCGTTAGTACACTGCTGGAATATTTCAGGCTTGCACAGTCAAGGCCGCACTGGAGGGTAGGGGGTGATGGGAAGGAGGGCTTTCAGAGAGGGTCTGAAGTGCCAGCGCTGCCCCCAGCTCCCCCCACAAACCCTGCCCCTAGGTGGAAACACAGCGGTCAGCCGCACCGCGTCTTGATTCTCCCATCGCCGGGGACCACACTGCCCTCCTTGCCAGCTCTCACTAACGCGGCTCTTCTCCCGCACTCCAGGTCAAGAACCCTCTGGAAGCCCAGGGCAGCTGTCCCTTTCTTCGCTGCTTTGTCTCCAAATCTGAGGGGTTTCAAAGAATCCTGACAGCTCACATCAGCCGTCCCTTCTCTGGGCCTCACCGTGGCTGCGCTGATGGTAGCCCAGCATGCCGAGGAGACAGCAAAGTGTGCCTCGCTCAAGTTTCCCAACCACCAGCAGGCGGAGGCGGGGTTTCCCCTGCTGAGTGACGAGGACAGCTGCACCTGGCTCAGGGAGGATGCAGGATACCCTGTAGCTTCAGGAAAAGGACGCGTACGTCTCAGAACAGAGAGCAGGAATGGGGTGAGCACACGGAGGAGGAGAGCGTCATTTTCTCTCCTGCTTCTTACTCTGCATCACCACAGGGCCTTGTCCCCTCTGCAGCCCGAAGCAGCAAGGTGATGTGAAGCCATGACATCCAGCCACAGATTGATTTTAAAATTCTTCCTGATTAGCCATCTCGCCACTTTCCACCACCTCAAGATTAGATTCCACCACAGTTTTACAGTTCTCCTCTAAGGGGCTGAATGTAAATCTCATGCATGTGTTTATCTCACTGTGGTTTGTAATCATTAAGTTCTTTGGCCTAGTGTTTGCCTAAGTTACCTATCTAGTTTATTACATGTATTCATCTTTATTGCGAATCTACGTCATGTTCGGGAGAAAAATCACACCTGCCCTGTCATGGTTCTATAGCAATCAGTAAGCACCTACTGCATACCGAGTCCTTTGGATGTTTACTGCCTAACCTCCCCCACCTCACACACACAACTGAAATGGGTCTCTGAAGACATCTCACAGACAGGCCTTGCTTGCTCAAGCTTCACGTCTCTTGTAACACACAGACATGTCTAGTTGAGGCATTTTAACAAGATGTTAGCAAATGCATGCTGTACCCCAGATACAGCCCCAGGGTCACATCATGATTGCAACAAGAATGGCGGCCCGGGTGCCTGGCTGTTGACAGAAGGGAAAGCACTCGATGTCAGGAAGGGCCCAGCCAGGACCCGGAAGGTGGCAGGCCCACTGGGCTGCTCATTCAACAGAGCACCAGGAAAACATCACCACCCCCTCTTCGCTACTCCCCTGCTCACTGTCTGGCGCTGGGGGGCAGATTCCGTCCAGGTAGCACACGATTCTTAATTTGTTTGAAGGCTATGGTGTCTCTCTTTAAATTAGCCAAGGAATGACAATCAAGCCCGGAAGCAAAGCCGCTCGTGGCCTTCCCACGACTGGCACCGTGCTGTCTGGTGAGAGAGGCAGGGGAAGGGTGGAAATCCGGGTGCTGGCATGTGCAGCTTCGTGGCGCGGTTCCTCTGGTACACGAGACAGGCACGAACCTCTTGAAACGGTCAGAGGCCAAGGTAAGCTGCTTCACAAACACTCAGCCAATAATAAAATGTTTTGAAAAGCACTTAAGCTTAATGGGTTGAGGTGTTAACTCAGTGGAAGCTTCTGTTACTATGGAGAGGGACGGCGCGAGAACATGATGGTGCCACAGGGTAGGAAGGGAACACCATTAGGACACATCACGCCACACACAGTGAGCACATGACAAGGAAGCCTCCTGGATGGGGTGGGCTGCCACACGAGGCCCACATGATGACGGTGGTGGCCGAGCTGAGGTCCAGGATGGTCTTCAGATCCCTGAATGCCTTTTTGTTTGAATCAGTCTTCTTGAGTCTCCACTCTTGCCAGGCCAACTACAGACCTGCCCCTTCCAGGTCTAACCCCTTTGCTTCTCATTCTCCTGCCTGCTCTGGCCATCAGCTCAGATGCCAAGGACCATACCCAGGCCCTCAAGAACATATAGTGCTCCTGCTCGTCTCACAGGTTTTCATGGCACATTCCCCAGACGCTCGGACACATGGCCGGCCAGAGAAACATCATCTGGCCCAGGGAGTTGTTCTGCAGGAACAATGACTTCAGTTCTCCTTGACTACTAGCTCAGTGATCTCAATTAGTCTTATTACAATGTTACTTCCTAGCAAATGAAGCATTGCCATTAAAAGGATTTCCGTTTCCAAACTTCCTTCAATTGCATCATACCCGTAATGCTCATATTCTAGCACCCGGAGCCATCTGGCAGCCATTCTAGTTCCTTGGGGCTGTGCACCAAGGCGAAAACTGGTTCATCCAAACACCATTCAACACATGTGTTCTTGATGGTCTTCTATGGTGCAAGGCAGTGGGAGGGGCTGAGTCACCGGCCAATTAAGTGCCTTCCTGACCCTATTGTTGAGTCATCTGAAACCCTTCTGTTGGCTCAGCAATCATTTAATACTTTGGAATTTAGCTTTCATCGGGAGTATCCAGTCCCTAGCCTGATATTTAGAACATTCTTTGAAACACAGCATATCTTTTTAAATGAAAGAACAAAACAACATAATTATCTACAGAATGGACAGATCTCTGCCAACCCAGGTGGAAATGAAGAGTACTAGGGTTTGATTTTTCTAATTACTCACAGATTTTGGATCAGGGAGGGTGAAAGGACACTTTATTCCTTTCCCTGTAGTCATGAGTGCTCCAGCTAATCAAAGTCCAATTCGTTAGAAACCAGGACCAGAGACAGAAGAGCAAAACAAACAATGGCTTCCACTGGCCCCTAAAACCCTGAAAGAACATCTGATTAAATTTGGCACGTGGGCCCTACTAGAATGTGAAAGTAGAGGCTTTGTCTGCCTTGCTTGCAGTACTTAGAGCACCTAGCCAAGTGTCGGGCACATTGTGCTAACTCAGTAAAGACACATTGCTGAGTGAAGTAATGAATGAATGAATGAATGAGAGAGAGAGACAGAGTCATCCAGAGCAGCAGAAGGTCCAAACAGCATGGTGGACTGAACGTGCAACTGAAATCAAATGCCTTGGGCTGAGTCCCAAATCTTCCCACTGGATGAACTTAGGTGAATGACCTCACTTCTCTAAGCTATTTTCCACGCATAAAATGGAAGTAAGACTAATATATATTCCACAGGCTGTTTTGCAGATTAAGTGACAAAATTCATGTGAAAGTATTTCATAACATACTAGTTGCTGAATCTAGAAACCTGGACATGACCCTTTATCCCACTGCCTTGCTCACCCCATGCCCTGTTAGCCTCTTACTGCTACAGACACCATCTCCTACAGACTCCACCTCCTAATATCCCCCATTCTAGCTTCCTCTTCGTTCTCACCACCTCTGCCTTAGTTGTGGTTCTCATGACTGATAACCAGGTAGATCTCATCCCTTCCTGATGGGTTTCCTGTCTTGAGTCTGGCTCCTCCTCAGTCCTCTCACTGCCAGTTACTCAGCACAGGGACCCACACTCAGAAGGACCTAGGCATGAGATTTAATGCTCTGTGGTTGTCACCATGAAATTTTTAATCTGATGTTGTTGGAGGAAAGTACCTGGGACAACAGATGATGTTTGGGGACTTAGGCCTTGGTTCACATATGCAGTGCTTCCAGGACAACTTCTCAGCTACCTACTCCCCTCCCCTTGCCAACCTCCCCCAGTGCCTGGTGCCAATCCCAACCCTAGCAGTGGCCCAGGCACAGGTGTAGGGATGGTCGGGATTGGGTAAAATGGCTCACAGTACCTATGAATGGTCATGGTAGTGGCTTTTGGTCACCTCAGGTTGGCAGTAAATACCACAGTACTTCTGGCAGGAGGCTTGGTATAGGCAAGTTTCAAGACAACCCACAACCCCGTTACCTAGTGCATTTCAACACAGACATTACAGACCCACAGGAATCGCCTGCCTGCTGAGGGCTGGGCACTGAACCTCTAGGAAGGGAAAATTCTTGGCTCTACTTTCCTGTCCCTTGCCAGAGAATGGCCCATCAGTCCAACAGCTTCTGAGAGGGGGAGACCAGCTGCCCATGCCACAGGTGTCCCAAGCCTTGGCATGGGGCCTCAGGCTCCTGTGAGGGTCTAGAATAGCCCCATGAATAAACTATCCTAAGTACAGAAGAGAGGTGACATTAAAGAGCAAAGTAAAAATGCTACGGTGGATTGAGGGACTGTAGGATGAAACAGAAGCTCTGTAATTTAATACCTTTAATAAAACTATTTTCTTCCACTTTTTCACAAGGGACCCCCCCCCCCATTTTCAGTTTGCCTTGGGCTCCAGTAACCGAGCCTGGCTGCCTGGTGCTTCTAAAGCTCAGCCCCGATCGTGCCTCTTACCTCTGAAATGCCTTCAGTGCTTCCCTGTAACTAGCCTCATGAAGTTCAAACCCTCTGCTCAGCCCCCATCGCTCCTCACCTGGCTCACACTGATACCCTTGGCTTCATCCTCACGCTCACCCCCTCACCCTCCTCCTTGGCTGTCTTGCAACATTAGCAGTTTCTTGCAGCTGGACCTTTGTTAACATTCCCCTATTTGACTTTTATCTGATTTGCCCGCTTGAGCCTCACTTCCCTCCAAGGCCTTCCGTGACTCTCCTCAGGCCTGGGGCTGAGTTGGGTGCTCCACTGCACGCGCCCCCCCCGCCACCCAGCAGACGCTGTCATGGCCCTCATTGCTCTGTGCTATGATCACTGGTGTTCTACCTGGTTTTACCACCAGACTCGTGCAACACACATAGTCCTAAGAACAGGGACCGTGTGACCATCTATTACCAGCACCAGGCAGAGTGTCCGACACGTTGGCAGCAAGCTGAATTCCCTGCGAAGCTGAACATGCTGACTTTCTCTGCCTTTTCCCTTCAGTCCTGCTTAAGGAGATGATCAGAGTGAAGCAAGCCAATCACAGCAGCCATGGCTTCCGAGAACAGACTTTTCAGTACCACGAGGCCCTGGCACCACCTTAAACCTGTTTCATAGACCTATCACTTTCCAACCGGGTTCCTCTGACCATCTCTTAGGTTTCAGCTCCTGCCTATCATCAAAACCTCAACCACAGAAACTGGAGATAGAAAACACTGGGCTTGTTTTCTCAAGAGAATAAACATTCTCCCTTCAGCAAGTTCATCAAGCTCTCGGGGTCCAATCCCAGTGCGTGGAGCTCCTTTGCATCGCTCCCCTATCGGTGTCAGTGTCCCAATGAAGGGGTGAAATAGTGTGAATATCTGCCTCCCCCAGATCAGTTTAGCCCCCAAGTCTTATGTTTATGGTACTTGGAGAAGTGATGAGATTGGATTGGGTGGTTAATGACCGAATGCAAGAGACCACACAGAGACATGCGTGCTCCCTGCTGCCTGCTGGATGCGCCCGGTTCCTCCTCACTCTCTGCCTCCTGGCTCTCCATGTGACCCAGCATCTAGACACATTCTGCCACTGCCATTCTGTTGCCTTGTTAAGAGGGAAAACCTGCCGGCGCCGCGGCTCACTAGGCTAATCCTCCGCCTTGCGGCGCCAGCACACTGGGTTCTAGTCCCGGTCAGGGCGCCAGATTCTGTCCCGGTTGCCCCTCTTCCAGGCCAGCTCTCTGCTGTGGCCAGGGAGTGCAGTGGAGGATGGCCCAAGTGCTTGGGCCCTGCACCCCATGGGAGACCAGGAGAAGCACCTGGCTCCTGCCTTCGGATCAGCGCGGTGCGCCAGCCGCAGCGGCCATTGGAGGGTGAACCAACGGCAAAAAGGAAGACCTTTCTCTCTGTCTCTGTCTCTCTCTCTCTGTCCACTCTGCCTGTCAATAACAAAAAAAAAAAAAAATGAGGGAAAACCAGTGGGACCACACCATTTGGACTTGAACCTCCAAAATGGAGCTAAGTAAATATATTCTCTTTATAAAGTAACTTGCCTCAGGCATAATGTTATAGTAGTGAAAAGCTGATTGATATAAGGGGATTCATGATCTTGGCCCCAAGTCTAAGCATAAGCTGTCATCTGGTCCAGACCTCTCATCTTACAGTTTGGGACACGGAAGTGCAGGCCAGGTGAGCGTCCTCCATCTAGACCCCGAGTCCACCATCTGACGGCTGCTCTGTGCAGCCTCTTGGGAACTAGAAATATTTTTTCTAGGCTTTTGACTCACTCTTTAACCCACTTCTCTTTGGAGATACAAGGCCCATCTTGTTTCTGCATTTCCTTCGTTTCAGGTCTCTGGACAACTGTGTCACCCCATCGATTGTCGTGTAATTCAAAACCTACGGACCACAGGGCACTAACCCATGATTCTGGCATTCACCACTGTCTCTTCGCATTGGTGCTTCCCCAAATCCCATCCCCCGAAATGTCCATTAGTTAGTTTGCTAAAAACTGGGAGAGGGATGAGATTATTGACGAGACAATATAGTTTCCTTCACAGCCACAGTTCATGTCACTAAATTAGGTGGGAACCAACAATAAAGAAATGATTGTTGTTGACATGCAGTATTGACATGGGAGCCACACAAACCACATTCAATAGCTCTCTGAACCAGCTGCTGGCTTGCATTTTGGGGCAATGTCATTTCTGCTACCATCATTTCACAAACAGCCCCATTCTTATTCCACCCCCATTCATGGCTTAGTTAATAGCGAGTAGTTTTCTGTTCCAGGCAGAGAGCAATCTGCAAATCAGAAGCTCTCCAAATAGACTGGAGATGGGTAGTTTTATTGTACACATTCCCACTCACCTTGCTAACAGCCCTTGGGTTTCAGAAATGTCGTTAACTATTCCAGTCAGGAGACACAGGGACCCCTAAATATGGTTCACCTTATCCCCACCCGGCCCCACACTCTGCATCCTCCAGGCACATTCTAAACTTATAGAAATGCGGCCAGGAGAGAGTTAGACTATTTTGTGTGATGCAATACAGCCTGTTCAACTTTTGCATAGCAATTCAGCAAACACAGTTTTAAGCATTCAATTCTACTTCTACAGCTTCTTAAAATTCCCTGCAATATAATTATACTGATGGGAATGCAGAAAGATAATTGCTTTTAGAGGAAAGTTTCTCCTTTGTTCCATGTTCATCTGGCTTCCAGAAATGGAACAAGAGCCCTTGAACAGCAGAAATACGCATCCATGTGTCTCTAGTTATCATTTATTTACAAAGATAGACCTTGACAAATGTAATTTGTTCAATAAAATTAAAAGGATGCACGATAATTCACTTAGACAAAGAGACTTGAAAGGGGACGTCATCGGCAGCAGCGCCGTCCATCATTCCAAATGATCAGCTGACTTTGAAGAAGTGGCAGGTGTTCCCCTTTTGGAATGCAGCATTGAAATAGTATTTAGAAGGGGGAAAAAAAAAGAAAGAGAGCTAGGAATTGGAGCAATTCTTTATTCAGGCAATAATTATACAAATTAGATCTATGAAAGCCAGAGAATGACTGTGCCTTGAACCCTGTCTGTGTGCATAGAACAATGGGGAAATTAATAATTAAATCTATTACATATGCTCATAATTCAATACAAAAGATACCTCAGTAGTTCAAACACTCCTGTATTTTCATTTGAATAAGGCTTTCACACATTCTCCTCATTATATATGTATTATATTTTAAATTTAACAGCTTATTTTGTTGCCTTTATGTTTGAATTAATAAGGGCACACTTTAATGCACTAATGGGGAATTGCATTAGCCAGCTTTGCAGACATAACTTTGAAAAATCTCCAGTTTCCCAAGGGTGAAATCAATTTGCCCCAGAACGTGTTGTCTCACAGACACATCTGGACGCTTGGAGGAACAGCTCCCCTCTCCAGGCTTCTGATTTGGGCCTCCCTGTCTCAGAGAGGGTCCCTGGAGCAGAAAACCCTTGCTACCCTGAGCAGGCCCATCAAGATCATCTTCTGGATTTTGCCATCTCCTGGCCACTTAAACATGATTTCCATGCTTGGTCCCTGTTATTTTTCCAGAGAGCAAAAAATAATCTTCTTATGAAAAAAGTAAAGGTTTATTTTTAATCCAATAATTCATTTTCTCTCTCTCACTTTGAAAATTTGCTTTCTTACTCCCTCTCTGCCTCTTTTCATCCCTATTTTTAACTCTTCGTACCACCTCTGAGCCACAGGGAGTGGAGAAGAGAAGGGAATTTGAGAAAAAGAGAGAGAAAGTGTAGCCTATGGTGAATAATGGTGGGAAGGTTCTCACAGTCACAAAGGGCAGTGAACCACAGCAGAACTACTGGATTCCAGGATGGGGAGGGAGTGGCATTAGTTGAACTGGAGCAATGAAATCTGAGGGAGCAAAGTGAATTCACAAAGTTGGGGGATGGCTCTCAATTTCCTAGAATATAGGGTAACTCCACTGGGAGGATTGAACATGAAGGTTGTAACCAACAGAAAATGCCCATCCTCCTGCAACCCGGTAAAGAGACAAAGAAGTCTAAAGCTTCGTGCGAGACCAATTACGGTGCTCCCATTACGGTGCAAAGCCGCTGCCAGCAAACCCGGGGTCGCCCAGGCACACGTGGATCCGCTTGCCACTGCCGCCACTGCAGTATGACAAGGAGTTTTGTGCCTTCAGAGGAGTGCCAAATCCAATGATGCTAATTGCATTGCAGATTTCTAGCATCATTAGCAATTCTTAAAATTACATTTGCCCTGCTCAAGTTCTCTATTTCCAGCCTGGTGTGAGGAGGGGGCAGGTCTCTAAAGGGGATGTGGGTTACAGAGAAATTCAATTGGACACGTTAGCTTCAGGTGTGCAGGTGGAGGCTGGCCGGCGGGGATTCACAGAACAGGAAAAAATGCTTGTTTGTCTTATTTTAAATGCTGATTGCCGGGAGAATAAACAAAACCCGCAGCTAAATGGGCCTTAAAGGAACACTGGGAATTTTGGAGAGAAAAAAGCCTTACCGAGTAACAGTTGGAACTAGCCCTGTGGGTCCTATGGTGACAGGCACCATCCAACCACTCCGAGCCATGGAGTAACTCGCATCTGAGAGAGTTGGTGCAGAAATAACCAGTCCCTTCTTGTTTGTTTGTATTTAAAACAAATGAATAAAATCCAGATGAATTGGTGTTTTTGCTTGGTTTGTTTGTTTCCTTAAAGAGAACGTATTTGCTCATCACGAGAGCCAGACAGCAAGCTCCAGAAACAAAAGCCCCAAGTCCGCACTCCTCCTGGGCTTGAGCAAGGCCCAAACATTTGCCCCAACATTCTCCAGCGTAAGCATATCAGTACAGGAGAAAGGGACATCGGCAGAGGACAGCCACTGTCAGGCCCAGCCTGTCCCAAGTCCACCAGCTCCTAACACCGGGCCAGGCTCTGCAGTTGGAATTTCCATCACAGATTCAACGAGCAGCCACCAACACCGTCCCCTCCCAGGGTGGCCTCTACCCTGAATACAGTCATGGAAAGGGTATTCCCCGCCCCCCCCCCAACAATTTATCCTGTGTAATTAAATGGCTAAGCCCATACACACACACACACACACATACATATGCACACGTACAAATATGTGTTATATATACAGCTTTATGTATAAACACACACATTGAGGGAGTGCATAGCTTTTAATTGGACCGTCTTCTCAAAATAATTAAGCCAGTTTTCATGAAACACTGTTTGAGGTGGCTGGCAAGGGAAGCAGCCATCTTTAGCAAAGCACTAATAAACAGTCGCCGGTGCTATGGGGTAGCTAGCGGCATCAGTCCCAGTTCCAGCATTAACAAACAAGCGCAGTTCTCCGGTGAGGTCCAAGGACCACAGGCGTAACAGAGAGGAGAGCAGCGAGCCCGGGTGTCTCCTGTCCACTTCCACAGTCCTGGGGGGCTGCAGTGGCCTGCTCAGGCCCAAGCTGGAAGAAGGGTCTGCTCTCAGAAAGGATCCTGGCAGGAATCCAAGTGCATTTGCTCTGTCCATGCAATGTCAAGGTGACGTGAGACCCTCAGAGCTCCCTGCAGCATCCATGGGTAGTACTGGGACTGGTTTCCATTGGTAACGACATGTCAACAGTGGGGTGTCAACAGTATGGATGTTTAAACTCTTTTCTTTAAAATTTTTATTTACTTATTTGAAAGGCAGAGTGATACACACAGAGAGAGATGTCTTTCATCCACTGTTTCACTCTCCAAATGGCTGCAACAGCCAGGGCTGGGCCAGGAGCCAGGAGCCAGGAGCCAGGAACTCCATCATGGTCTCCCATGCGGGTGACAGAGACCCACAGAGACCCAAGTATCTGCGCCGTCAACTGCTCCCTGCCCAGGCTCATCAGCAGGAAGGTGGATGAGCAGCGCAGTAGCCAGGACACAAATCAACACCTCATACGGGATGTGGGCACCTTGACCTCGCCCAGCAGTTAAACTCTTAGAACAAGGGTACTCATTCTCTAACAGCACCTGGATGATCGCTATAGAACCACAGCAGGAATTCACCAAGGACTTTTCTGACGTTTCCAGCAGCCACAGGCGAGTAGAGGCGAAGGAATATCTGGTTTGGTTTTTAGTTAAAGGAGCGGTTCACGAGATCTCACACTGAGAAATCTTCGTAAACCACACTTCCTCCAAAAGCGGTGAGCTGGACTCGCTGTCCTGTGTGGGTCCCTTCCAATGAGATGGCCAGGTGGTGACCTCTAGTGCCCTGGAGCCTTTCATCAAAGAAAGGAGGCCGTGGGGCACACGAGGACGCTGATGTGCCCCGGTGTTACCTGGTCTCCCTAGGACTTGCGTGGTTCTGAGCTTCCCCCACCC